GCCTGCAGTTGCGTTGGCAGAGCCAGACCAAATGAGAGCTGGGTGTCTCCCATCCTTGCTATACAAGGTTGCTATGAGTCGTAAAGGATTCCATGGTACTTAACAACAACAGAATGAGTTGGAAATTATTTGATGGCATTTAACAACAACAGGAAACAGGCAGCTGTCCCTGCTCAAAGATGGTAGCCAACAGGGCCACTTTAAATGCATGGTGGCCGCGATCTTTGCACTGCTATCTTTGGACAGGGCGTCATTATCTGTTTCCTTGTTGTTGTTAACTGCTGTCAAGTCGATTCTGACCCATAGCGACCCTGTAAAGGTTTTGTGCAGCTGGTGAGCTTGAACCACTGACCTTGCAGTTCAAACAGCTTTACAGTCTGGCACATTAATCCACAATGCCACACCACTGCGTGATGGTGCTAGTGGTGAGGATTTTCCAGGTTGCAGTCTCTCTGATAGTCTTTGTATGGTGAGACTCTACAAACTATTTTCAGTTTTTCATAAAGTCTTGTGGAAGCCATATATTACCTGGGATATTATATATAGGTTTATTAAAGCATTGGGATTTGTTGGTTTTACCTGGAATTGAGTTAAATCTATATGGAATAAAAAGATTTACACTGGAATAAAATAAAAATATGGGTTTGATGATGAGAAATATTAAACGTTTCTAACATTCTAGAATACTAACCCTAATTTTTAAGTATACTAGTTTTATCCTTTGAAGATTTTTCTTATTTTTATATGAATTTTTTTTAAAACTTTTTGTGAATTGAGTGAAGGTTTACAGACAAGATCATCAGCTTTACGTTCAATAAATCATACACTCTATTTCATTTCAATGATTACAATCCTTTCCACATAACAACCTCCCTGTGGTTCATATTTGCATTCCACCCACCTTCCTATCCCTTCTCCACTATCCTAGGAAAAAGTTGCCCTTTTGATTTTGAATGATTGACCTTTCTGTGGTGAGCATACCTAACTATACCCTCTCTCCACCCATAAACTTATCTACTGCTTGGCTGCTTGGAGTCCTTGTCTGGTGCTGTAGAATAAGCACTGGGCCACAGAGTCATTTTGAACTACAAAGTCCATGGTTCAAACCCGCCAGCCGCTTCTTGGAAAC